CGAATTAATGAGAAAGTCAACAAATATACAAATTAATGGATGAGTTTATGTTTCAATGTTTTGTTTTTATTTTTTTATATTAAGACAATTTCAATAATGTTACCTACAGTGACATTTTATGGGTCAAAGTTCACATGAATTTGAAATTTGATGTGGTTAACTTAGATCATCTTTAATTTTTAAATTTTTTTTCATCAAATTTAAAAATAATTAAAGATTATCTCCGTTCCATTCATTAAAAGCATATCAAATCAAGTGATTTTTTTTTTCGTTAAATTGAGAATTTATCAAAGTCTTCGTCAAATTAGAATTTAATAAAAATTAGGGATGATTTTTTCTTTTCCATCAAATTTGATAAAAAGTTGGAACAGTTTATATCAAATCAAACTTTTTATTCAAATTTAAAATCAAATTAGATTAAAAATTAATGACGGATTTGATAATTAAAAGTTGACATTAAATTAAAAGAACTAGTAGAAAAATGTCACGTGTATTACTTTAACTTTTCTTCTTTTAAAGTTAAGTTAATTCATATGAACAGATAGTTGGAATTATTTCATCTCTAATCATTTTATCAAATGTTCATTAGCTTAAGGGAGAGATATTTTTCATCAAATTGAGAACTAATCAAATCCTTGATCGAATTTAAATTTGATAAAAATTTTAAATAATTGTATTGGGATGACATTATTCATCAAATTTGATGAAAATGAAAATTTACAATGAAAGGGGAATTTTTAAAAAAAATTATAAACATTTAATGAAAAGATTGGAATAGTTCATATCAAATTAAAAAATTTAGTCAAATTTGAAAATTAGATGAAAAAATTGGTAAAAGGTAAAAAATGGTCATACATAGTTCAAATATTAGGATTTTATTTGAATTTTTTGAAAAATAAATCAGAATTTAATTAGTTACATGGGAAAAAACCTGAGAGTATTTATGTAATTTTTCCCTTTAATCAGTTGGAAAATACTAGGGTGGTAATCATGCCGTGTCGTGTCGTTTTCGTATTGTGTCATATCGGATTCGTATTCAAAACAATCTAACACTAACACAGTCCATTTAATTAAACGTATTAATTATCTTGATATTAACCTGACCTACTTATAATCTTATTAATCAGTAACATGATACACTTAATACGATTAGCAAAAATTTATATTTCAGATTATAATCAAATTGTACCGCCTATTTAATAATTATTTTTTTTTTGACATCACATGCATAAGAATAATTTGTTCAAACATTGACACAGAATAATAATATATGTCAATATCTATGAAAATAATTAAAAATATTCATCACTAATCCATTACACATTCAATCTAAACTATTGTTATTTATTAATATTTAAATCTTGTCACGCCTCACACTTTATTACTCGGAATCCATTATCAAATTCATTAAACATATTCAATTTCATAGATAACATGCGGAAACTCTTTACATCATTTATAAGAATAAATAAAGATTCTCTCATCCGTAAATGCAACATGTACATATCTAAATAATTGCCCGCAGGCGTACATCTTTAACAATAAAAGAAAGGGTTTAACCCTTTTACATCAATGGCATTCTGCCTACAAATAAAAGGCCTCGTGGCCAACACATAAAGAAGATCCTCAATCTTGAAACACCTCTCGACGTTCGCCTGAAAAAGGATTAGCAACGTAGGATGAACATAAAGTCCAGTAGGGATCTTAACATGATCCTAAACAATAGCAACTTACAGATAGCTATGATCATGAATGCATCAAGTCATATCATATACATAATGTGACGGTTTATACCGAAATATACTTATATAGGAACTTTTCTCAAAACCATTCTTTTCATTCAACACTGTAAGCGATCCACCTTTCTTTTCTTTCATTACCCCTTTTTCCCAAACTTTCATGACAATAACAATTCTAGAAAAGAATTTCACCAAGCCCATTACTTTTCTCCCATATTCCGTACATACAACAGATTTGCCTTTTCAAAACATGTTCACAAATGCCCAATTTCCTTCACACTTTCCAAAATCTCAAAATAGTATTTATGTATGTTCCCAACACATTCATACCTATACATGCATACCTTTAGTAAAAAGGGTAACAACAAATCATCAACAAGTATATGATCAACAAATGAGGCAACTCGACCTTTCAAAACTGTAACCATCGTAACCCATAACATACTCAGATATACTGAAACAATGATGATAAAAAGCTCTGCTCTACCTGTCATAAGCACGGTAAGTTAAGGGTACACCTTTCGACAAATGACATGCCAAGTTCTTCAGACACAAGCTGAAAGGTACTGGTACCTCTACCAAGTTCTCCAAACACAAGCTGAAAGGTACTGGTACCTCTGCCAAGTTCTCTAAGCGCTAGCTGGAAGGTACTAGTACCCCTCATTCTAAGCGCGGTATATAACACCAACCATTACAACGCAACAAAGCACAACCAACAAGTGTAATACATACACATAAACTATTCAATAATGTTCAACCAACACAAGTGTAATGCATACACAACAATTCAACACAACAATGTCATCCTCCACCGATAACCAAGGACAAAACCTCTAGATGCATGTATTCAACATACTTATTAAAATGACTCAAGTCTCATGAGATCTTAAACCCAACAACGACACTAGTACGATAGTTAAAGGCACAACCCCCAAATGTGTGTATTCAACACTCATGATATAATAGTTCAACTCTCATATTTATTTTTCGAGACTCACATAGAGTTATCATTTCATTTTCCATTTTCAAGATCAACTTTTATAATTTTCCAGGTCAACATATTCCACCACTTATTCCAACCCACTTTTCCCAATTCACAAAACCAATTCATTCTTTTCATTTCACAAAACCGATTCCACGAATAATAAAACCATAACCCATCTCAGTTCAATACGTTCATTTCAAAATAACCCCAATGCCATAGTTAATCCCTTAGCCATTAACTCATTTACACAACCCATATCAACAATAGTAATTTACAAATATTGTTCAACCATCCTCCCTTTTAATTTACCAAATCAAAATATAATTTAGGGCTTTCTCTTCTTTCAACAATATCTTGCTAGATTACTTCCCAATTAGCCAAAACAACAATCAATGGTAACAAACTCATTCTCAAACAACCAACCCTAGGTCCCTTTCATTATTTTCAAAGAAATCCAACATAGATATGATTTTCATGCAATATAAATTTACCACATGTCTATCTATGAACAAGGTATTGAAAAAGAGCAAGGAAATCCTTACCTTAAGCTTAGGAGAGAAAACCACCCAAAAATCACCGGCGACGAAACCACGAACCACTCGAACCAAAAGGAAGCCCTTGACGAGATCTACAATCCATCTCAAAGGACCATGGTGAAAAGATCACTCTAGACTAGAGATCTTTGAGCAAAAAAATGATTTTGGAGAGGGAGAGAGAGTGATACGGTTTAGAGGGAGAAAAGAGAAAAAGAAATAAAGAAAATGGTTAAGTGGGAACTTATTTATAGTACTAGGTCAAAATAGAAACAAGCCCCAAAGTCAACCCAAAATATCTAGTCAAAATATCCCCAAAAAGTAGGCCCAAACCGGTAGAAAAATCTAGGAAAAAGTCACAGGTGTTGACCCCTGCAACAGTGGTGTCGACACCAAAGAGGAAAAAAAATCTGGAAAAGCTTTGACTGCACTGCAGGTGTCGACCGTATCCCAGACTGGTGTCTACCCTATCTTCCGGCAACTAACACACAGACAGAAGAGGGTCGACCCTCTCCTAGTCTGGTGTCTACCCTATGTTCCAGCAACACTTCCAGAACTTCATCAACAGGTAAGGGTTGACCCTGGGAAGGCTAGTGTCGACCCTAGAATGGAATTTCTAAGTCTCCAAGAAACTTTTGACAAGAATAAGTGCGAACAACCAAACCCAACAAGTTTAAATCAATTCGTACTCTTCCAAAACTAAAGTACAACAACACCAAAGGTTTCCAAAATAGAATAAAGGGTCTAAATACATTTACCAAAGGCTTTAAAAGGCACAAGTGCTACAAATATCCAATAAAATTTTAAAAGCAAAACAAGTTTTTATCTAATACCAAATTAATAATAATAATGTTGTAGCTATATCACATTCAAAGTAATATTGTTGCGATTCTTTCACATTAACTTCTGCCACAAAAACATTGTTGTTACACATTAAAAACTCTTTTTTTCTACCAATCTTGACTTCTACTGATTTATCATTAATTTAAGATTGGATTTCATTCGGTATAGATATATATGTATATTATATAGATATTTAACTCTTAATCTAAAACATGAGAATGTACGCGGGTCAAATGTGTCCATTTTTTATTTTACATGTTTAATCCAAACATGTCCCATTTTATATTTGTGTTTTCAGATCGTGTCATAGTCGGGTTCGAATAAAAAAAATAATTAACCCTATCCCTTTAATTATTCGAATAATATTAACGAGTTACAAATTCCCACCCTTAGAAAATAACTCACCTCCTCATAACAATCAGGATTTAGGGTTAGGGTAGTGAGACTAATAATAAGATTTGATAACCCATTGAATTTATTACCAAGGGTGTGCAATTGATGAACAGAAATATAACCGGTTTGGGTTTCAGTCTTCAAAAAAAAAATTCCAAAAAAAAAAAAAAAAAAAGAATTTTTGATTCATATTTTTATATTTTTAATTAAATTTTAAAATATTTTAATTAATTATTTTTTAAGATTCACTTAATCTTAATATATTTAATTTTTTTATATAAAATCTTTTTAAAAATTTATTAAATACAAAAATGTATTGAATTTTCATATTTTCCTTATATTTTTTGTATTTAATGAATTTTTAATTTTTTTTCATAAATAGTATATTTTTTAAGTATATTTGAATTAGATGTATCTAAAAAATAAAAAAAATTATATAAAATATTAACAAAATTCACAAAAAATAAAATAAAATTGAAGAATATAAAAATTCAATTTTATGAAAAGTAGTTCAATTTTCTGGAAGTAGTGAATATTTCTTTTTTGGGGACGAAAGACGCGAAAAGCTCAAATAAAGGGACGATGGTGAATTTACATCTTGCGAAGATTGACGAAACTTTGTAAGCAGTTTTTGCAATGGTAGCGCTCAATTTCAACTATATTTTTCCACAACTGAATCACTCCCTCATCCAGACCCGGAATCGGGAACTTTTTCAAGTTCCAGTTTCAGATTCAAAGATATGTTTGTGATTCAGATTCAGCCAAATCATATTCCCAATTAAGATTCAGATTCAGAGACTTCTCAGGTACTTCATGTTCTTTGGGCAATCTCTCATGTTTCCGACACTATTCCAGATACTTGCAAATTCTAGAATAAATGTTTGCAATTTTTTAAAGATTCTTCTTATTCCTCCGTTGCTGCTAGCACTACTACTATTCAGTTTAAGGGAAAACGATGGAAAACCGATTTGCTTACCTCGAGGATGGACAATTCTACCCTGTCAATGTCATCACCAAACTTTCTAAAGTCACCTTCCCGAGTGCACTCCTTTCTGTTATAACATCAATTGCTATAAAGATTATTTTAGTTTGCATATTCCTGATGTATATTTACTGTGAATTTGATTATGAAAGGCAGGCTGGTGGTTTCAGATTAGGCAAATTAAGAGCTCCTAGAATAGCTGAAAGACTCAAGCCTGATGATGATGGGGGGAATAAGGATGGAGAAGCATCTAGTGGGAGTGATGTGGAGGATGATGGTCCCTTACTTATGGATGAGGAAGAGAGGCAAGAATGGAGGAGGAAGATTAGAGAAGTGATTGATATGAATCCGGATGTCCAAGAGGAGGTAGACCCTGTCGAGAGGAGGAAGAAGATGCAGAAGCTTTTGGCTGATTATCCACTTTTTATGGAGGAGGATGATCCTGATTGGCCCGAAGATTCTGATGGGTGGGGTTTCAGCTTGGGTCAATTCGTCAACAAGATTACTATTAAAAATGTCAAGGACAATGATGATGAGAATTATGATAGTGAAAATGAATTGGTGTGGCAAGATGACAATTACATTCGTACAATCAAAGACATCACCACTAGAAAATGGGAAGAGACTGTATTCAAGGACTTCAGTCCTTTGATTGTCCTTGTGCATAATCGATATAGAAGGTTAGTTTTCAGTGTTTATTTTATTTTATTTTTTCAGGTTGCTCCATTTTCCCTCTAATTTCTCATTCCAGTCGCTTCTTTTTCTTTTTTTTTCCTTCTGAACATCTTGGTTCTGAACTCTGACTGGATAAACATTCATCAGCCATTTGATATAAAGTGCTAGTTGTCTTAGCAGTCTTGGGCAACTTTGTTTTTGTTTCCTAGTATGGTTTGTAATTCTCATTTCCATTTGATGCCTGTGCATCAACGCATTTGATTCCCATTTTCCAGATTGGAAGTGATATGATCTTCTGAACTTCTAGTTGCTTCTGCAATGCTATGATCTTCTTCTTTTGGTGCCTCGTACTGTATTACAAATTCATGGAGATTCTTCTGTTAGTCTTCCAGAAGCAGCAGATTAGCATCATCTCTCTCTCTCTCTCTCTAGGTTTAGCCTATATTCCTTGGTAACAACTACCCTTGTATCAATTTTCAATTTATGTGATTGATGGCCATCTGGTTTACACATTGAATCTGGGTTGAATCTTCGCATTCTATTTGTAGAATTCACTTCCAATGGGTCAATGCACATGGACTAATAATTGGTCTTCTGACCTTTTCCATATACTACTTATGATTGCTCAAGTCTCACAATTTCATGTGTGCTTACAGCAATCACTGTCTAATAAGGGAAAGAAAAATTATGTTTGTTATTTAGGCCTAGTTTGGCTACTGCCAAAAAAGTGCACTTATTTCATCTTTTTTGGGTCACATCAATCAACATCTCCTTTCTACTTTTTCTACACATAATACAAAAAAAGTCAAAAAGTGTACTTATTTAGTTTTCCCAAACTAACCTTAATTTCTAGAGGCTTGGGTCAATTAATTGGAGATGCTTATTGAGATTTGAAACTTTCATGGTTTATTTTATAGCTTAAAATGCAGATTTATTATAGAATATATTTTTATTATCTAATAAAAACTTATGAATCTCTGCAGACCACTGGAAAATGAAAGGATATGGGATGAATTGGAGACAGCTGTAAATATCATATGGAACTGCTGGCTACCATCCCCAAGAGGAAGTAAAGCCATTTAGTTGTTTTTTATTGTCCTCGTCCCACCTTTTAATATTTTCTTTATTTTCAAATACCAAATAGTGTGTTGCAATAGATGCTGTTGTTGAGATTGATTTGGTCTCTGCTCTACAAGTGTCTGTCTTCCCAGAGCTTATCTTCACTAAAGCTGGAAAGATCTTATACTGTGAGAAAGGTAATTTTTCTGGTACATAAAATTATATTCTTGACACAGACTCGGCCTTGAATCATAATAATTGTATTATTATTGATTTTTTTACTGGTATTCAGCTATTCGAACAGCAGATGAGTTGTCAAAAATAATGGCATTCTTTTATCACGGAGCAGCCAAATCACCTTTTTTGAATGAGTGTTGCTATTAGCACCTCATTAATTATTTTGAACTCCCCATTTCTTTGGACCCCCACTTATAAATTCTAAAACCCTTAAAATTTCTTTTCTCCCCCCAAATAATACCAAACTTATCATTGTGAAAACATTCCAACATTCAAACGAATGCACTCCCCCACACCCTAAAAACCCTCTATCCCCAAAACCCTAACAAAATTCACAAAAGTGATTACTACTTCATCTCCATATACTTGTTCATGACCTAAGAAAATAAATGTAGGGTTTTTTGTTGTTGATTCAAAATTCTCCTTTTGTTCGTTCTGCGATTTCCACGAGTTTCGATTATCTGTTTTGAACAAATAAGAAATGTTTGATTACCTGTTCCCGAACAATGAACAGTGTTCGGGCTTGTGTTCCTGAATTTTGGTCATATGTTCAGGAGTTTAGTCCCGAAAAAATGACGAACAGTTTTTATTATTTTTGTCAATTTTTTCAAGAAACTTATCCTTACAAGGCCAATCTCCCCTGAGTTAAGAACACCATCAAAGTTATGAATCTCTTCTTAGCTTTTATTATTGTACTCCTCTCGTCTCATGGAGTTGTGATTGCCGGAAAAACTTTCATTCATTGTCATTGGCATTGTCATTGCCGGAGAAGTGTAGGTAATCAAATGGTTGCTACCATTATTGTCGGAATATTGCCGCCAAAGGGTTTTCAAGATTTTGAGGGTGGGTAGGCTTTTAAGGTGGAATTTGGGGAAGATGGATTGGTGGTAATAGAAGTGGGTGCTCTCATAAACCCTAACTCATGATGTAGTGGGTGTGTGGGCTTAATTGTGAGATAGGGTGTCCCAAAATTATTGATGTTCTTTTTAGTAATTTCATTTGAGGTTATTATTGTAATTTAAAAAAAGCTAAAAAATAGAGGGTCCAAAATAATTGATAGGATGCTAATAGCAGCACTCATATACGAATGAATGTTGGAGCCCACCTACGAAGATCACATTTCTTGACTAAGTGTGTTGCACCCTCTGTAGACTCTTTGAATGAATCACTTTGTATCATTTGGTAGCAATCGAATTAGTCTAGATGATTCTGTCAATATTCTTTTAGATGTGATTATTTTTGGAAAACATGATCGCCTTTTTATTCAATCTTTTGATTATTATATATATTATGGGGAAGAAATGATCCGGTCGTCAAGTCTGATCTTCAACTCTGGTGTTGTCAAGAACCTCTAAGAAAATGACAAAAATAATTGTGTGGCGTTACAACGTCGCTTTCCTAAAAAAATATTTACCCCACCAAATAATTTGCAGCGGTTGCACAAACAACAGTAGACCAAAATATCCTTGATATGATCAAGTGAACCAATACACTAATATTCAAGTTTGCAAGAAATGAATATCAGCAAAAAGCATGTAGGAAATAGGAAAGCGCCTCTATGGCCACGAAGCATCTGTGTTAAGTGCGATGTGAGCCATCAAAGCACCACACACTCATGTGCTTGTGCAGATGGTAACGCATCATCCTTACGGTGCGTGTGCTTGCACAGTAGCATCCTTCTCCACACTTTCATGTTCAAGGGAATATTTCACATTGCTCTTTATTAAAAGCTTTACTTTTTGCCTCTCTTTCCAATTTGGGACGAGTTCCTAAAGCTTGTTTCTAAGAAGCATGGACATGGATACGGATATGGACATGGAACATGGCAATTTCAAAAAAATGGGGACACGGATATGGCGGAGACACGACAATGAAATATGTCTTCATATATTTTTATTTGCTATCTAAATTAGTATTACATCCACAAACAATCAATATTAACAAAAACTAACTCTAATTCTTTTTTCTTTTTTTATAAAAAAAGAGCACTTTTAAATTAACACTTGCAGTTTATATCTTTTTTTTAGAGTGCTACTATTAGCATCGTATCAATTATTTTGAACCCCCTATTTCTTTAGACCCCCACTTATAAATTTTAAAACCCTTAAAATTTCTTCTCTCCCTAAATAATACAAAAATTATCCTTGTGAAAACATTTCATGCATTCAATTGAATGCACACCGCCCACACCCCCTACACCCCAAAAAACTTCTCTCCCAAAATTCTTAACAAAACCACGAAGGTGATTACTAATTCATTTCTAGATACTTATTCATGACCTTACAGTGAGAAAATAAATGTAGGGTTTTTAATCTTCAATCCTTAAAATATATCAACAAGAAATTGGGTTAGGTTTTTTGTGCTTGAGAAAGAAGAAGAAGAGCCAAGTGTGATTACTGTCAATTGCCCTAGCTTGGGTTGTGATCTCTGTCGCCTCATCCTTTTCTTCGGTTTGACCATTGTCAGAGTTGGCTATATGTTCCCGAACAAATGAGAAATGTTTGGTTACCTGTTCCAGAACAAATAAATAATATTCGGGTCTGTATTCTCGAATTTCGGTCATATGTTAGGGAGTTCAAATAACGAATAGTTTTTATTATTTTTACTATTTTTTTTTTAAGAAACTTACATTTACAAGACCAATCTCTTCTAAGTTAAGAACACCATCAAAATTATAAATCTCCTCTGAGCTTTTATTGTTGTACTCCTCTCGTCTCATGAAGTTGTAATTGCCGGAAAAATTTCCACTCTTTGTCATTGCCAGAGAAGTGTAGGTCATCAAATGGTTACCACTGTTACTGCCGGAATATTCCCGCCAACGGATTTTCAAAGTTTTGAGGGTGGGTGGGTTTTGAAGGTGGGATTTGGGAAAGATGGATGGGTGGTGATGGAGGTGAGTGCTCTCATAAACCATAATTCATGATATAGTGAGTGTGTGGACTTCATTATGAGATAGGGTATCCCAAAATTATTGATATCCTTTTTAGTAATTTTATTTGAGATTATTATTGTAATAAAAAAAAAAGGCTAAGAAATGGAGGGCCCAAATTAATTAATTGAGTGCTAATAACAGCACTCTTTTTGAACTTGAATACCGTTGGAATAAGTGAAGAACCAGTCCCTACCATTTGAATCAACAGCGAATAGTGTCAGAATAAAAGTTGTACATAACTATATATGTATGTGCATTATGGTTTAGAGAATGACAGTTTCTGGGTTAGCGATGTTGTGTTTACCAAGTTGTTTCCCCATACAAATCAATTGACACCGTGAATATTTAGCTCATATGGAAATTCTAGGGGAGATTTATAGCTACATTTAGCAATTGTTGGTTAATTTCAGTGTGAAAACTGAAAACTTTGCTGTTTATGTGCAAGATGAATATAGAGAGCTCCTGTTTTTTTACTTATTTTTACTTTAAATAGTTTGTGCCCTGTTCTCTAATACTTGATTTTGGTACCAATACTACCTTGTTGCATTCTTTACATAACCAATTGGTTTATGGTGAGGGTTCACAAATTTCTCAGGGCCTATGTGTATTCCATGATTTTAAATATTTTCAAAATATAAATGTAAGAAGACTGAAAAATTTATCACTCAGCTTTCAAAATATAAATGTAGGAAGACTTTGAAAATTTTATCACTCAGCTTTAATATCTGCTGAAATCGTTTTCCACAAACATGAGTAACACCCTTACGATACAACATATGGATGGTTGGTCATACACAGTGCACAAGGTTTTGGCTTTCCAATGTGATCTAGTAGTAGTGAGTAGGCAAATTTATCCCATTTTGTTAGGGTATTTGCATTGTGCATCTCTGAACCATTCAACATTTAGTTCGTGCTTACCTTATTATTAGGTTAATAAAATTCGTAAAACCATCCAAAGATGCAACCAAGCTTCCTGGAAAATCATTTTAAAAATGGGGCCTCCCAGACTAGCTGCCCAAATTTCAATGTCTTCATTAGTCATCAGCCTCCAGTTCAAAATAAATAAATAATAAATGAGTCATCAGCCTCTCCATTCCATCATCTTTCATCATAACAACTACCTGGGTAATCCTCAAGGACCATAGTCCAAGTCCCAGCCTTGAAATAGCTCACTACCAACTTGGTTTTGGAACATTGGCAGTCACACCCTAATGAACATCAAGTGTGACCAGCACAATTTGTTCCACGTTGTGTTCCATCCACACCGTGACAATTAATTTGTAGAGTTTGTGCAAGCAATAATCCACACAAACTCAAGACACAAGTAAAAGTCTTCAAAATTATCATCCTCACAAATAGTTATAGCAGAAATTGAACTTCAAATTATTGCAAACAATAGAAAGCACAAAAAGCGGCCATGTAGAGGAAGGCTAGAGCCCCCACTGACAAATAAGGCCTGCAGTTAAACTTTATTCTGCAAAAGCAAAACTAACACAACAGAGTTGGATAACAGAACAGCGAACTTGATCCACCTTCTATTAGTTAACCTCAAACCCACGAACAGCCCAAAACCTTCCCGCCAACAACGCATCCAATGCCACAACCACTTCAATCGTAGCAGCAGCCATCATGACCCAAGAGCATGGCAGCACCTGCTATTACAAAAGCAATATATTATT